ATCAAATTAATTTTGAGGATTCGACTAATTTAGAGTTCAAAATTATCAAAACCAAAAGTCCATAATTAAAAATAATAAAAATTAAATTACAGATTTTATTATTTATTATGTAACTTAAATATATATTAAAATATAAATAATAAAATAAAAAATAAAGTTATCAACATTATTCAACATTGTCCAATATGTCAATTAGTGGACTCTTATTTAGATAAATGTCATTATACACTATAAAATTAATTATACAATTAATGATAAATATATACAATTATATATTATACATATAAAATAAGTAAAAATTATATATTAATTAAATCGGTTCGACCACTAGTCCGATCAGTGAATCATTGAACCGATAGCTTCACCGATTCAATTATCGGTTTGGTTTTAAAAACCATGCTCTTTAGTAATGAATCTTTCCAAAATCGGCTTTGGTCGGTCCGAGGACCAGCATCGATTTTTGTTATATGACCAAAACAATAAACGCACATTTTGGAGGACAAGAGCCAAAATAATGGTGAAATAAAGGACTAAAAACTATTTGTCATACAATGATAGTAAATTAATATTTGGACAATTATTATTGACTTAAGAACAATTGGAGGTATTAAAACTAGCTAGAGAGGAATAATAGCTATGAACAATTAGAATAATAATTAGATATGTAATTGGGCATTGAATCGGATCATGAAATTTCGTGTAATCCACAGGGTGTCGTCCGTCCGAACAATTAGGTAACACTTGTTAAAAAGTGTTTGAAATTTAAATTAAAAATAAATAAAAATTATCCTTTTCATTCCTTTATAAGTACTAAATATAATTCTTATTAATTATTAGCATTCGTGTAATTCTTCATAGGTGTTGCACTGTTTTGTTAATCAGTAACACAATGATTGATGAAGTAAAAAAAACAAATAAATAAAACTAATAATACTAAACAATATTTTATGATAGTAGTTATTTATATTATAGATAGACACCTAAATTAAATACAGTGTTTGAAAATTGAAACTCTATTCCAGAGAGGAACTGTAGTCCCATGATCAATAGGTAAATTAACTTACACAATTCAACCCACATATATAATTATATATACACCAAACTCCAAACCATGGCTAATTACACAACTTCCCAATAATGGCAGAAACTAGTCAACCAAATCCTCCTCCGATCTCCGACGACGACGCTAACGACTGCCAGGCGCTGAGTATTACAATAATTGCCTTAACCAAGGACGGATCCAGAAATTTATTTCGAGGGGGGCTATATATTTTTTAGTAATCATAGATTCAATTTAATGTACATAAGAAATAAAAACTTGTATTATATATATATATATATATATATATATATATATATAATACAATATAAATTATAAAGTTTCAAACATTAACAGTAACAAATTTAGATTGAACGTTCCCTCAACTCATGAATTTCATTAATGATTGACTCAATACTAATAGTTTTTATTTTATTTTTCCATTNTTGGGGGGACAAAGGCTGGGTTATAATACGCGATCCATTCAAGCCGAAGACTTCCTTCCCGACTTTCATAATCGAGACCCTCTCAGTTTTCGTGCCCAATAACACGGCCATGGCTTGATGGGACTTAGGGTTTTCGGTCGAGAATATTAAGCTTCACAACGATAATTCAATTGGAAATCTAAGTGCATGGCTCGGCCGATGCACGAGTCCTGAATGGTCGGGAAAATCCAGGATTGCCCTTCACAAGGGTTTTTGGTAACGTGAGCTTCGACACGCCGTGGGCCCGTGAGGACTACATCGAGTCCAAGGTGCTCAGGTGTGACGTGACGTTCAAAGGCTATTATCATCATAATGTGATCACTGCCGAGTGCATGAATGTGACGGTCCAGATCGAGGCTGGCCACCGTGGGGTCATGATCGGAGGGCCCAAATCGTGTGGAAAATCTCAACACAAAGAGATTATGGTTACTAGCTAGTAGTAATTAGTGTAGGATTAGTATTAGATTTTTCTTTTTTACTTTTTATTTTGGCACGTACGATAGTTTTGAATTCGATCGGATTCAGAAATTATCTGAATTTGTTATATGTTTATGTCAATTTTTAGTAATTTTATTATGTTGTTATTGCATAAGTTCATATTATCCGATTGGATTGCTGCAATTAATTTTGTACGGGCTTGTATATCACGATGATGTGGAGTAGAGGAGTCTAATAAACTGTGAGTCAATTTTAATTAAAATAAATAAATATTTATTTTAATAATTGTTTGTTATGATATTATAGCCTTATAGGGACTAATTATTGGAATTTTTAGTAGAAATATTTTATTTGAATTTTTTGGTTAGGAATTTGATATTTTTGTCTGCACTGGATGCAATATTTACCGTACGGAGTACGTTTTGCATCAATCCACTCATTTATTCTCCATTTTCATCCAATAAATCCAATAAAATAGATAATAAAGCAATACGATTTTTTGATTTACAAGTTACACAATCAACCAAGAGATTCCGACCTCTCTCAGATGTATAATGTGCGTTGGGATTAATTTCCAATTTCCATTTTTCAAATCTCGACGCAGCTCGTGAAGAATACGAAAGAGGGTCTTTAAATCTCCTGACAATTCCTTCGTCTGTGATAACAATGGCTGCAAATATAGGGATTATGGATAGCGCTTACTTCGTGGGGAGGAATGAGATTCTTTCATGGATTAACGACAGGCTTCAACTTAATCTCACTCGGATTGAAGAGGTAAACGGACATGGCGATTGGATTTTGTGTTGTGCCAATTTTTTGTAGTTACTTACTTTTTTTGGTATTTCTGGGTTTTTGATTTCTTGCGGTTGATTGATTGAATGTCGTATTTCTGACCAGTTTCAACAAAATGGTGAAGTTTTGGCGTTATTTGAATCTATAAATGTTGGATAAGAGGGACCTTCATTCATGAAAATTGGGTGCAGTTTTGTCTTATTTTGATTTTTGGCAATGTTTATGTTTTACTGTTGAGTAGATTAAGACTGTTTGATGGAGTTTTCAGTTGGGGCCAGAAAGTTCAAACATCTCATTCTCATCTCTACATTGTTATGATGAGATCGCTTTTGGGGGGCAATCAGGACTTGTCTTGAGGGGTGACATTTGGGTCCATGATATCATAATTTGTTGTTATTATTCCTTATGAGTCATATCTTATCATACATTTGCATTAAGTTACTGTTTTTCGTATTAAAATTTGTAGCAGGTCGATTCCAAGACTGAACTGTTTGAGAGATTTGGCTTGACTCCTGTATATATTTTCATTTTCTTTTTAATGGAAGATTTTAGAAGCACAAATGCTATTAGTTGGTTAGGCTGAGAGGGAAGAAATTATGTAATCACGACGTGGGAAGAAAACTTTTCCCTCTCGAGCGAACCGAGTAGCTTTATTGTTCCTATGATAATTTGGTTTACATACAAATTTTCCTGTGGCTTCAAATGTGGAAATGTTCTATGCTTTTGTTGTTGATGAATGTGTGGACTTTTGTTGTTGATGAATGTACTCTGGTGATCTACATTTTGCTACATTTTTTCATTAAATTAACATATTGTTTTAGGCTGCATCTGGGGCCGTGCAGTGTCAGATGATGGATATGACATACCCCGGTGTAGTTCCTATGCACAAGGTGATAAACTTCATTTTTTTATACTTTCTTCGTGTTCAGCAAATTACTGAATGTGTGTGTGCATAGGGATTACTGACATTCATACTGTCATAGGTGAATTTTGATGGTAAGACTGAATACGATTTCATCCAGAACTACAAAGTGCTTCAGGATGTTTTCAATAAACTCAAGATTAGCAAGGTTCATTTTTTTGTTTCCATGTGCTTATTTTCTTGCAATTTGATAAATATTTACTGTGTCAAAATTCTGTCAATATCACCATTTATACTTTCTTGGCTCGGATACTTTTCTAGCTAGAAGCAGAGGCACGTAATTTAAGAATTTGCAAACTCTGCATAGCCCTCCTTTTAACCTCTTTTCCCTTGTATCTTAATTTTTTTTTTCCACTTCGCAAAATTGCTTACCCGGTTATGATAAAGTGCGAAGCTGGATAATTTGTTTAAAATGGTTGCAGCATATTGAGGTAAGCAGGCTTGTCAAGGGGAGGCCATTGGACAACTTGGAGTTTCTACAATGGCTAAAACGTTATTGTGATTCAGTAAACGGTGGTCTAGTGAACGAGTAATACCTCCATTTAAATTTTTAAGTACTCATTGTTTGAACGATTTTCCTTTTTTTGTTTTCCTGTAATAGAGTTATAATTTGCCTGGCTCGAGTTTCCTAGGAATTACAATCCGGTGGAACGTAGAACTAAAGCTGGTAAAGAAAGAGGCATCAAAGTTTCTCAAAAGCAATGTAATAAGTCATTGAGTAACACTGTTAATCCTGCCAAAGGTGATGTCGTTCAAAGAAAGATTATCGGTAATGCCTCTATTCTTAATCTTTCACCCTATTCTGTTATTTTCTTTGTATTTTTAAGATTTTCTTTCGACCTTACTGCTCTAACATTCTCATCTAGTACGGTTCTTGGTTGTTTAAGGCTCCAAACAAGGGTATTCAGGGAGTGTGGCTTCTGAGGCCAATTCTGCATTGGAGATTCAAGCATTGACAAATGAGGTAATAGAGAGTACATCTTATGGTTGTTGTTTAATAAAGTGATTTGTAAAAGTGATTTATTGTAACGGAAGTGACAATTAGTTGAATTGATAGCAGTTTTTGTGGAAGTTTACTTCGCCAAAAGTGGGTGTTAGGAGAATAACTTGTACCAAACTGGAAAATAGAATTAGAAATCTAAAATATACTTTTATGGCTTTAGGTTTTACCTTATGCACAATTAGTAGCATAAGTTGGCAGGTGAAAACAGTACTAAAGGATCCATATTTATCGATTGAAAAGAATATAAAGCTTTCAAATCTTTAATAACAGTTTCGCTGCTTCAAAAAAAAAAAAATAACAGTTTCGTTGAGCTTTGTATGAAAAATGTATTCCAATCATTGCATTTCTATCTGAAAGATACTTTTTCGGAAACTATGGTGACTTCGAATCCGGATTATACAATTCATTTGAAATCTATATCCAAATGCATTTCTTTCAAACTTGAATCCCAGTTAAAATTAAAGCTACTTTTAGTGCTTTTTTGTGATGTGTCGCATGTAATTCAGGTCGCAGATCTCAAGCTTTCTGTCGAGGACTTGGAAAAGGAAAGAGACTTTTACTTTGCCAAGTTACATGATATAGAAGTACTTTGCCAGACACCGGAGTTAGAAAATCTTCTGGTAATAATTTCCCAGTACCATGTCCCAGTTTTACTCGTATTATTGGAACCTTTCGTGCATGTTTTTACTTGAAAGCTCTCTTACACGCTATTAGTCCAAATCAGTGGTGGTTGTTTTTCTAATTTCGTTACTATGACTTACCTCTTACCTGTTTGTTACAAATGTTCCAGTTATTTGCTCCTCTTCAAAATTTGCATCATCTATCAAATAATGTTATTTGTTAGAACATTGTCAAGGAAAAGCCATTTGCATACTTTGCATTCTTCACTATATTTCAGTGATATGAGGAAAACGTAAATCCAAAAGGGTTCGATTTTGTTAGTATTTGTAAAAGTGTGATCAAGCAATATAAATCTAGGAGTATTCGTATTTGGGTTGTATTATTTTCTTTTATACATTCAAAAAACCTGAAAAAAGAATGTCAAAAAAATTATTATTATTGTGCTATTATTACAATTTTGGAGATTTTGCATTTGCAGGTGGCCGTGGCAATTAAGAAGATATTGTATGCAGAAGATGAGAAAGAGTCTGCACTTGCCGAAGCTCAAGAAATTGTGTCTCAGTCAGTATAAGTGTGATAACCCGAAACTTGAAAATTAACTGAAAAAAGAGCCATAACTTTTGTTACCTTTCTTTTTTCCAATCAATTTAGACAAGTCATTAAGTCAAGTTTGCTTTCAAATCAAATCAAATATATAANTAAAAAAAAAAAAAAAGAAAAAGAAAAAAGAAAGAAACTAACTCAGCAGGGGGCTTATTAATGCTTTTGCTTCTTTATTTTTGTACTGATTACATTCACCTTGGGGCTCCGAGTTATTTGATCAAATAAATTTTATGGTATTGACATTTTTTCCTGTTCTTTTCTTTTCATATGTACCAAAAATGAATCTTTAAACTATAATGATTGCAAAAATGTCACTTTATGATGTTGATTGTGGTCACTGTGCTACATAGTGAAGTTAGTGTGGTTAATTAACTTAATTGTTCAATATTTATCTTGTGTTTAACTTTTAATGGTCAATATTCACGGCTTTATATTCGTTCTTTTTTATATTAGAAGATATATGGATCACAAATAATTGTGGTATCATTAGATTTAGAGGTGTTATTCGAGACCGAGTCGATCTCTTACTAGTGTTCTAACATTGTTCGAGTTTGTGCTCCTTTAACAAAAGAGCCAAAGGTTAACCAGCTTGTTTAAATTGGTAAAAAATTCGTTTAACAAACTCAAAATCATAAATGATTTGTTCCCAAACAAATTTTTTACATCTGCGAACATGCTTGAATTCGCTATTCGTTTGATATTTATAAAAAAATAAGAAAAAAAATAAAAATCGTACTCAACCTTTGACCTATTTCAGTTATTGACCTGGAGAAAGAGCCGTCTCCGTCTGCAAAGGTGGCTCTGTTAGTATAAATAAAAAAGTGAATTTTAAGCTTTCACAAATTGAATCAAACTGTATTGGCCAATAATTTGGTTCGGACAATATCTCTAGGCATCATAAATAGAAAATATTTTGGTAATGTGTTCGATGCCAAAATCAAATTTCTCGATTAATTAAACGAATATATAAGTTTATAACACGCCATGATGCTTCTGTTTAGTAATTAATCTTTATCAAAATATACTAATATTGTCTATATTTAATTGCATTATTATTAATACAATTAATATCAACATTGTAATTGGAATCATATAGTTCGTCGAGACTAGAGACACTACTGGAAGAAAAAAAAATATGGAGAAGATGGTGCTGATGAGATCGCTGTGCCGCTCAATCATCCGCCGATCTCAACATTTTTCCTCCGCCGGCGCCGCCTTCAACCGCCGTATCCACCACCTCCATTTCTCTCCCCCATCGCTTCCCGCATCCTTTCGTAATCGACGTAATTGCTTTCGAATAATTTGCTTGTTGTTCTAATTGTTGCCAGTAGAACCTGTAGTTATGCTTTCTCTCTCCGTATTAGCTATGGATGTTTCGATGTTATTTTCTCTAATTGTATCGTGTTCACTGAAATTTCCACCTTTAGATTGCAGCAAGTTATAGATTTCTGTGTGGTGTTGGGTAAATCCAGTCAATAGATGTAGTAGGGTTCTGGATTTCCAATAGTGAATTAAAAAGTAGGTTGATGAATGGTCTATGCAAAAGTAAAATTAGACCATGGAGATGGAATTGAGATGGCACTTGATAGAATTCATGGGCTGTCCAAGCAAATAAGGTGTTTTTAGTGTTTATTATTGTGATTTGTGAAATAATGAAACTAGATTTCCAATCATGACCATTTTGGTTCTTTCAAACTATAGAAGGAAGAGCTTGTAATTGTAATTTTATTTCTCCCTAACATAGGGAGAAGGGCTTTATAATACTCCGCTGTAACTGTCTATATGTTTGTCGCTTATGACTTATGAGTCTGACAAGAAAGGGGGAAGAAACTTTATGTGATGCTTCTTAGTCTCCCCACTTCAGTAGATGGTGCAAAAAGTTCTGTGCCCATATATTTTTATTGTTTTATTTTCGAGTTTCCCAAGTACATGACATATGTTATGCCTTTTGGTTTTTGTTTTGGGAGATAAATGTTGTCTTGGGACATATATAATGTAGAAACCGAATTACCCGTCTTTCGATTCATCTTGAATATATAAATGATATCTAATGCATCATACTGCAATTAGCTTTTTACAATCTTGCTCATTGTAAGGATTGCGTACGGAATAATGACCAGTGTGGTGTGGGTATGCCTGCATAAAGTTTGTATTTATCTAGTTGAGATTTAATTTTGAGGTTAATACAAATTTAGGATTATGTACTCTTGATATTTGGTTCCTGTAGATGTCATGCATCCTTTTGCAATGTGCACTGGGAGCACTCGGTTTTTCAGTGAAGATGTTACGCATATGCCTGTTATAAAAGATCAGGAGATTGAGCGTGCTTTCAAGGACTTAATGGCCACAAATTGGGATGAGCTTTCACCAGCAATTGTCCATGACGTTAAAAATGCATTGTCAAAGAACACTGAGGACAAAGCTGCTCAGGATGTTCTTAAAAACGTTTTTCGGGCAGCAGAGGCAGTTGAGGAATTTACTGGGATTATCATGTCGCTGAAAATGGAATTGGACGATGTCATTGGCCTTAGTGGCGAGGTAAACAGAAATTATGATGGGCCCCTGTAGTTTAATCTAATTATGGAATCAATCCACTTCTCTTTTAAAAATTACAAATCTCAAGGGGTTAATTGTAGTTCTAAAAGATGACTTGGCAAATTTTCGTATCTGGGCTTAAGCTCTGGGACACTTCACGTCACGTGCCTATCCCTGCTTTGTTTGGTTACCAGAACTGATAATTTTACTGTTGGCAGAATGTGAAACCGCTGACCGAAGAATATTCAAAGGCATTGCAGACTATTTTCGATAGATATGCGGTGTATCTGGCTGCGTTTGGACCAGAAGAGACATATTTGAAGAAGAAAGTGGAAACTGAGTTGGGAACAAAAATGATATACTTGAAAATGAGGTGTGGGGGCCTTGATGCTGAGTGGGGGAAGGTCTGTTTTCTTTTTGCTGAATTATAATTTTCCCCTTTTAAAAGTATATTACGGTTCGATTTTCTATCACAGAAAGTTTATTATTATTAGTAGCTGAGCTTCAAAGTCTTCAAGGCTGTAGAGAATAGTTGCCTTAGATACAAGAGTAGTTTCTTCTGATAACAGTATATCTTGGATGAAGTTATTTATGAAAGACCCCTATAGTTTAACCTAGACCCACGAAGTACAAATTTTCTTTCCAAATATATCCTCTTGATACTTGTTTTATCTTTTACGAACGTCCTCAAGAAGTGCATCTGCAAGATAAATACAAAACAAACTGCCTGATGGTTTACTAAATTACTATCTCTGCTGGGAGCCGACAGAATCTAATATGTTTTTTGATAGCCAACTAATTAGATTTTCCTTGCATCTAATTGGAATTCTGGTAAATACGTACTTTATATTCGTTTCATGTACATTGCAGGTCACGGTCCTTGCAACTTCTGGACTTTCTGGTTCTTATGTTGAGAAAAGAGCATAAATTCCAAACGTGGGGATTGCAATCTTTTTTTATTCTTTTTCTTTTCTCGTGTTTTGTGTGACTTGCAGAACAATGCCAGAGAAATTGGCTGTTCCAAAAAAATTTAGGGTTCTTGCTTTCTAGTTCTATGGCTACCTGTATTAACGGTACAATAAATTTCATGGCAAACATCTCTGTTTTATGTTACAGTTGCGTTTATCCTGAGTTGATCTGAGTGTCTTATTCATTGGTCTTGGTGCTGTTAAATTAAACGAGCTTGGCTCGGCTCGATGAGGCTCGGAAAGAGAATTTTTATATAATTTTCTATAATTCAGCTCGTTAAAACTTGAGATTGGCTCGTTAAGGCTCGAACTAGGCTCGTTAATAGTGATAAACGAGCTGAGCTTGAGTTCAATTTCTGGCTCATTTATTTAACGAACCCAGTTCAGCTCAGCTTGTTAAGGGCTCGAGCTCGAGCATCCTAAGCTCAAGATTCGTTTACAGGCCTAATCCTGTGAGGATGTTGAACGAAGCTAAAAGTCCAGAAATTAGGTGAAAACTTTCAGGCATAACGAGCCTAGCAAGTTGAACTCGACTCAACTCGTTCACTAAACGAGTCGAATCGAACTCACGAGTGGCTCATTTCATAAACAGCTTCAAACCAACCTTAATAGAGCTATTTATTAGTGATCATAAAGTTGCTACCCGTAGAGTTTTGACGATTTTCATGACAAATGTCAACTGTAACAACTACATGGATAATATATATTTGATTATTTGTTATCAACTGTGCCAAAATACTTGTAACAAACAAGTGTAAGATTTTCTATAACATGCCATGTGATGGCTTACAAATTTTTATCCTTTTCACTATTCCAAAATCTACATCTATACTTTCCAGTTCTCCTCATGCATCTGAAAGACAAACCTGAAAACAAGACAAATGAAAGAACAAGTAATAACAACGATGACACTCAACTATTCCTTGATGTAATTTATGAGCTCAAATTTAGCCATTTTGATAAACCTTGCTATATCATTAGGCTTCAGAACAACTGAAATCGAACTTTTGAATCTTCATTTTCCCGTTTAAAGCAAGCGCAAGCAAATCGTATTCTTCCACGTACCAGAGTTCCGAAACTGTGGCCTACCATAATCGATGCGAAAAATATGGGATTATGTCGAGTTTGTAAATACACGAACAAATCAGCAACATTTCAAGAAATTTATCAGCAAAAATCATTGAAATTAATAGACTGTTATTCTACTGAGTGATGTCGAATAATATTGAATTGAATTAATTAATCGTAAGAAGTAAGAACTACCCCGTGAGATTCAGTTTAATAACAAAAGGAAGGTAGTTTTCGTATTTGAAATGACCCCTTAACCAGAAAATATACTATAAAGTCGAGCATCTATGCACCAGACCTATCGAATCATTTGGAATTAGAAAGCAAACACTGATCATGTTGAGTTTTGATATAATATTATAGTAGAGAAGGATCAAATTGAAAAAATAATGATGATGAAATCAATTGGATTTTATACAAATGAACAAGATTGCCTCACTAAGCAGAGATGAGTACCTTCATTCCCTGGATTTTGTTGTTTAGTCTTTCAACGAGTTCATGAAACATCTGGATATCGGACATTTTCTTTTCCTCCTGTTTAAATGGATTCGGAGAAAGAAGGAAAAATAAAAAATAAAAAGGCGATGAGAATGTGATTTTCCTCTTAAGTTGATATAACAGTAATTCACTACCAAATACCTCAGTGCACCTCTTAGGCGAGCCCAAAAGCCTTGCGAATGAAGTATGAAGTATCGCATCATCATACTGAGACATAAAAAAATAATTAGAAGATCATCACAAAATACTGTTGATCTTCAAAAGCATAATTAAAAAACAACGGACAGTAAGAAAAAGAGAACTAAAAAAAGAAACACGAAAGAAGAATTACAATAACAAATGTCAATAATATGTTAGTCTAATCCTTACAAGCTGTTTTTGAGGAGCACGTGGAAGAGCATCTTTTAATTTAGAACGGATAGTAACTGGGTCAACACCAGAGACCACCTGAGAGCAATCAGCATACTTTAAATATGTTAATAAGGAAATTATGTTAATTTAGTACACACAGCAAGCAAAATTTTTCAAAACTTTTCAGTAGATTCATAAAGATTTAGCTTCCACTTAGAAAATAAACAGAACTTATAATAAAATTATGATTTTGTTAAACGATATATAGGAACTTAGCAATAATAATAATAATAATAATAATAATACCTGCCAACAGCCTAGTAAAACGCCCGTTGAAGTTAGAACCACCCGATTAAGGGCAATGTGGATAGGGCAGATACTATCTGCAACATCTTTTACAGCTCTAACTTCAGCTTCAACCTGGGAATAAAGAGTGTTTTTTCATGTAATTTTCTTAATACTTTGCTGAGGCAGAGAATGAAAAATATGTTTGGCTGTGTTTGGTAAACCTATAAGCTAGCTTATAGCTTTTTTTCATTAGATTATAAGCTTCATGTATTCAAATAAGCTTGATTTTGGTAGGACGAGCTTTTTTAAAAAGCTCGAGCTTATCTCATAAGCTTCCTTGAGTAGCTTTCAAATAAGTCCATTGAAATTTTTATTTCAGCTAATTTTACCAAACGCTTTTATCATATAAGCTAGCTTTTCAGCCATAAGTTATAAATTATCATCTATAAGCTCGAAATTCACTTAAAAGCTATAGATAAGCTAGGTTCACCAAACATAGGCTTTAAAAATCGGGAAAAAAAAATATGCTTACCTCTGCTGATGTGGCCGGGACAGGTGTTATGTGATGTGAGGCGTGGAACATGCTAAAGTGGTATATGTTAGGGTCCTGAAACCAGATTGCTAAGAAGAAATCTTATTAGTTTCTTAAAAAAAGTAAAAGTAACACGGATAAAATTTGTAATCGTACAAGTTACATCAAAATTAGAGGTTATTGCAAGTTTGTCCTTCAACAAGAGAGAAGAAGGAGAAGTGATCAACGTATATACGACAGAAGTATAGAACCCAACTCAACAGAGTCAATTTTTAATCAATAACTAAAAAAGAAAACCATCATGATATGCCTGTAACAAATTTCACCTATTGAGGGGCTTTATATTGCACTACCACATTTATATTTAAATCGAAAAAATAATTAAAACAAATAACAAACTGGGAAAGATCTACATTGGCAAGTTTGTTCAGCTCTTGACAAATTCTTGCAAAAAGGAAAAAGTTCTAATTGTTAGTGATTCAAGTTTTGTTTTTCTCGGAGTGAAGCATAACAACTATAAAGGTTCTTTTCCGCAATTATCCAAAAAAATAATCGTGTCTAGTGGTAGGGCTGAAAGAAATATATTACCTTTATCAAAGTATGGGGAGAAGGTATGATTCACAGTGTTCCTGCAAGTAAGAATTAAAACGCATAAAGATCCAGCATTCGTGTTCTATGAGTTCAAAAGACTAAACTCACACACGAAATGCCACATTAGCTGCAGTAAAATGAATCAACAGAATTGTTTTATTAGGATTAGGAAGAGAGGAAAAAGGAAGGGATTATTTTTTTTAGAACAAAATATATTTGATGACATCTTCCATGGTATTTAACGTTGAATAAGTAGTCTCTTTGAAGTGGTTTAAGATATGCAACATCTGCATTCAGATTCCAATTTCACATCTCATCTATATTCTAAAATAAGACAAAAAAGCTATAAAAATTTTTGAAGACAAATACTATCCCAGCAAATAATTATCGCAATGTATTGGCTTAAATGCAAATGAAAACTCACGAGATTGGGACTGAGAACTGAGTGCTTAAATGCAACACATTTGCTCGTACTGGAGGATCGGCAGCCTACATAAAAGGAACACATTTTATCATTACAAGGGAATTATCACAACAAATCGGTACATAAAAAGATAAAATTTATATTTTACCCTCAGCACAGGTGTTAGTATTCCACTCTTTAGCGTGAAAAGATCTGAGAGGGATAAAGACTGAGAAGTTTCTCCTTGTTTAAGAAAAACGGGTCCTTTCTCATCCAAATCTTTCGCCATTTTCGCATAAAGTATTGATCTCTGCTCTGCATATGTATAAGAATCTGCTGCAAAATCCAAATTATAGTTAAATTCGCTTGAGATATCTTTCGATATGAGGTGAATACAATAGCAAGCATTTTGAACTGAAAGTTTGAGCACTTCCTATCAAGATTTTGGCAGACTCTTGTTCTTAATTCCTTTTTTGTCTTTTCTTATTGACATGACCTGGCCTCGGGGTATAACAGAATTTGGCAGAAAAATGGGCAACTGAGATTTTATTTATTCTGAAGAACTAAAATAGAGCTGCTACATATCAATCACAATAAATGAAATATAATACTATTGTGCAAAACCAAGCACTTCGAGATTTAACAATTCGATAATCCGATAACCAAGATGTAGAAAATAATGGACAGAATCCCAAGTAGCCATATCTACAGAACAGCAAGAAAAAGATCAAAACTTCAAAACAATAAATTATACAATTTTTGGCACTGTCCTCCATATCCACACAACAGAACTAAACAGAGAAGTTAAACAATAAATTTTACAAACTTTTCAGCAGAATCCCCTTCTAGCTAAAAAGTAGCATCCCTTTATACCACTTTTTAGTCATAAATAAGAACATACACACTCACACACTATTCTACCTAATTTCAACAACTATAACGTCAAACACCAACGCTCACACCCAAGCAGCCATATCTACACAACAGCACTAAAAAGATTAAAACTTGAACCAATAAATAAAACAATTTTTTTACACAATACCTCCATATCAACACAACTGAACTAAACAGGTTAAGTTAAACAATAAATTTTACAACTTTTCGGCAGAATCTCCTTCTAGCTAAAAAGTAGCATCCCATTACACCACTTCTCAATAATAAACAAGAACGCACATATGCTCACACATTTGTACCCAATTTCAAGAACTATAACCTAAAATACCAAAGCCCATTTCAAGTATAATCTACAGACAGATTTTGCACACAGCTAATGAATCAACAAAACAAGAAAATATATACATTACTTGCAACAGTGGGCTGATTGGGATTATTATCCACAGGGGCTGAGGAACTCCACAGAGCTATCTTGAAGAGACAGAAAAAGGTAAGCCCGCAGATTGACCAGATTACAGTGATCTTCAGAAAAGTGGGCCACCGATTCTTGAATCTCCCTCTAGCCATCACTTCTAGCATCCGTCGATTATTTAATCATCAGGGACTTGAGGGCTTTGTCGATCGATAATGATTATGGTTTCAAGTTCTTGAATCAAATTTCAGGAATCCCCACATGGTTTACACGAGAAAACACAAGCTCGAAGCAGCAATTTTGCGACTTCGGTATTTCTACTGGGCGAGAGTGAATTTCAAGCTCATTCCATTTTTTTAGTCGGCTGGCTTCATAATATTTCCCGTGTATTAAGCTGTTTGGTTTGGGCCATGAAAGCCTGTTAAAATCGGTTAGTTGGCCCATTACGTGTAAACTCATCTATTCTTAATACAAATTTGGCCTGTTACGAGTATTTTTCACACTTGTTTTATTTTCTGATTTTGTGTTCTTGCAATGGAATGTTTTCTCATCTTTTGTTCCTGCAATGGAATATTTTGCTGATGGCTACGGTTCTCCGAAAATGAAACCTTGAACTTTTTTGGAAGGATGTATTTGTTATATATAATTAATGATCTATTATTGTTTGAGTAATTAACCTGTTAATACCGATTTATTCCCACGGCATAATTACAAGCCTTCTTGAAAGGATATGTAATTACTAATCTCTTCTTGAAGCCTTTTGTTTAAGTTCTTATAGTCATATCATGTTAGTCCATCTTGCGATTTAGAGCATATTTATCTGGAATGAATCAATGACACGTGTTTTTAACCAAGATTATAGAGATCGTGAATGAATGCAGTTTTTTAATGAATACTATTATTTTCGTCGAGAAGAAGAAAAAAAAAAACACCATCCTAAATTGGGAGCTTGTGCTAAACACATTAAGTATGTGATGGTTAATAGGATCCTCAAACAAATAAAACACCTAAACAACCTGATTGCACTAAATGAGCTAGATTGTACGAATAATTTGAGGATGACTAAAAGAACATTTGCAAGGCTGTGTTATCTTTTTCGTACAATTGGAGGGTTAATAGATTCAAAATGTGACTGTTATAGGAAAGGTAGCATTATTTGTTCTATAATTGCTCATCATAATAAGATTAAAGTTGTGAAATTTAATTTCAAGCAGTCGAGTCACAAGGTTAGGCACAAGGTTGTATCTTCTCCTAGTTACTCCAACTCATTATTTAGCGAGCCCAACGAATAGGTGGGCCCACAAAACTACAACCGTCCAGATCAATTAGTGCATGGGCTCGAGTCCAGTGGGTCCGACAAAATTTATTTGTTCAATAAAAATAAAGAGCTAGGACAATTTTTCGGCATGTTGATCCACCATCTGGGAGCTGATAAGGTATGGGCCCCACGAAGCCCAATTACCCAGGCGCCAGGTCCATCCCGCTAGAAGATGGAAAAGCTCATCAATCGCATGGGGTACAAAAGAATTACTAAAGAGAGAGAGCTGAGGGATTTTATCTTAAGTCTCACTATTTCACTTCAATAACTGATACAAGTTCTCATATTGCAAAGGGGTCCCCAAAAAGTTTGACTAGAGATCATCACTTGATCAAATGTCAGATAGATTATTTTTAGATTTTTTTATAACAATAAAGTTTGAATTTGTCCTGTATAAATATACCATTTAGAAACGTTCCATTTGTCAAAATCTCTCGTTTTTCAACTCGGAGAATCTCGAATGAACTGAGGAACCCTCGGTTTAAAGTCAACTTTCCAACTCTAGTATTTGTTCTGATTCAATTTTAAATTATCGGTTCTTCGGATAAAATTATTTCCCCCAAAAATTCTTATATAATATGAAAATTTTGGTGTAACTAAATGATTACATGCATTTGTCGGTAAAGCTCAAAAAGATAAACATTGAAAAGTGAGATATATACTTCTTACTACAAATAAAGAGGAGAAAATCAAATGTAACTGACTCTTCGCAGGAGCCATTAATATCCCAAGAAAAGACCACAGCTATAAATAAAATAAATGAAAGCAAATTTAATTAAAAAAAAAAAAAAACCTCAATTTCCAGAACAAAATAGAGCACGTGTGTTTTTAGTTTTTACACGTCAAACTTCACAAAATAGAGCACTTAAACTGCACCTGCCGTCTTTCACGAATCGTGGCTGCCGCCAGCGTGGCCGTGCCGCTCATCCCCGTCGCCGTGCGACCAACTCGCCTGACCCTCCGAAACTCCGCCGTCCCCCGCCCGGTACGGATTCATTCCCGCCAGCATACCCAATTGCCCTTCGCCCATCTCCCCACCTCCGCCGCCGCCCAGCTGCAGTGCCACCGGCACCGGGAAATTCACAAACTGCAGCCCCGTCGACATCGTCCCCCTGTACACGGCCGCCACCGAGCCGCTCCCAATATTCACCGACGGAAACGTCCATATCGAATCCCCGCCGCCGCCGGCCGCCGCCCCCACAACCCGATTCCTGCCGGAATTCGCCAACATCCAGAAATTCGCCGGGATCATGCCCTGTCCCGCCGGCATAGCCCCTGCGCTAGACTGCAGCAGATAGCTCCCGATCTGATGACCCGCCGGCGGCGGCTGCAGCAGCTCCTGCTCCGCCCTCTGCCTCCTCCCCAAACCCTCCTCCTCCCCCGCCTCGCTCAAATCAAACGAATTGCTATTACAATCGCCGTTATTATTGTGATTTCCCCTAGATTCCTGCTTCGCCGGCGTAAAACTAGGATTTAGGCTGGCCGCCTGAAAATTGAGTAGCGTCGCCGCCGGGTAACTTTCCGGCGACATCCCCCGGAAACCATAGCCGGGGCTGAAATCATAGGAGGAGGGGAAGGATATGCTCGAGCAAGAGCTCCGGAGGGAGATGTTGAGGGAGGCGAAGTTGGCCGGAATTGTGCCGGTGCCGGTGGCGGCGATGACGGCGGGCTCCGCCTGCCGGAGAAGCCACTCGATGGTCTCACCCTCTGACTTGTGGCCAAGCTCGCGGGTCAACTGGAAGACCCGGGCGGCGCAGATTGCCGGCATGCGGATGCGTCGCCCGCGGCCATCGACCTTGGTGTGGCGGTCCTTGGTGGAAGTTCGCAACTTCTTGGCCGAGGGTTCTTCGACAAATGCAGATTTGAAATCTGTTGTTGTTGTTGCTGCTGCTCTTATTGTATTGTTAGGGTTTATCAAGGAGGAGGATGGGAAGACAATGGTGGAGGAGGAGGAGTTGTCTTCTTTGCGTTTGAATGGGAAGATTGGCCGATCGTGATGGTGGTGGTGGTGGTGGTCGCCGTTCATGATCACATTTATGGATATAATAGTGAGAGGGAGAAAATTAGGTTTATATGTGAGGATGGATGTTATATGTCCTATTTGTGTGTGTTGTAGTATAAAGAAAAGGTGAATAATAATAGGGTATACATGATGATGAGCAAAAAAGTAGGATTTGAACTTTCTTTGTGTGTGTGAGTGTTTGATAGGAGGATGCAAAGAGGAAGAACATGAATTGGAGTTACTTTCTCTCTTTTCTGTAGGGTTGGTGCATATAATTCCTTCACATATTGTGTGGCTTTTTAGCCTCAACAACGGAAGAGTGAAATGGAGGAGTGAGAGAGGGAGAGAGAAAGAGGAGCTTTGAGCAATAAAGATAATAATGAGAAGGAATTATTTGGGGGTAAGCTTTAAAAAGTAAAACCAAGAAAGAAAATGAAAACAATAATAAAAAAAAATGCAATGGAAAATTGAACATATATATGTGTGTTTTTTCCTTGTGCTGTTCAAGTTCGGAATTGGAATCGTACTGTTCGACACTGAAATTCTAATTTAAAAATTATTTTTTGAATCTTTTATTTTCTTTTTTAATTTCTTGAACCGGCCCTGACCGCCAGGTCAATTTTGAACCAAAAATACCAATTCATGACGAACCTGGATCGACGGTTTCGAATCTGAACCTGGTTCCGAGTCGAAACCCACCCGAAATCGGATTTTGTCCACGTCTAGGGACCATTCCCAAACTATATTGCAAGGCTCATAAGCACTTCGATTGGATTCAAAGAGCGAACTCGTCAATACGAAGTAAATAGTTCACAAGCAATCCAATGAGAAAAGCCCCATAAGAATTAGCGAAGACTCAATGAAGCTCAAGACCTAAGAAATATTCATTTATAGTTTGAAAGACGTAAATTAATATTATAGTTTGAAAGACATATATTCATTAATATTCATTTATAGTTTGTACAAATGTAGTAACTAGGCTAACATTTCCACACTCAGGACTTGTACAATATATGTATCGCACATACAAATAAAATATTTCTAACTTGATCGATAGAGTGCTAATGCTCAAATCCTCCTAACCTCCTTCAAATGAGCCCCTTACATGACAGTCTCCTTCAAGCGAGCGCTGTTAACGCTATTGAATTGCGTTGAAGTTAACTGATCTGATCAAAAAAGTTTTTTAGGATTTTTGGACGAATCGTCAGTAATCCACACCCATAAAAACAATAATGAATTAATAAGTGTTACATTTTAAACATATATAAAGCAACTGAATTATTCCATGCGATAAAATGTAAATCCTAACTGAACCTCGACAATCAGACAATGAGCTCGGTCGACTCAGTAGGATAATATTAATATAAGAATTCAAATTCAAAATCTATTGTTGCAAGGATGATACAATCTACTTCAATTGAACATTAGGGCATGATTCATGAATTTTATGTTTAAAAAGGGAATTGTTGTGCTTAATTTTTAAATAGGTATGCACATTTTAAACTGAAATATCATATCATACAAAATAATATAAATAAAAATATATTATATTTATATCATAAGTAGTAAGTTTAAAAAGACAGGCGTTGTGTGGTTCAGACTTCACGTGAGGTGCTCTTTTTATCATTCAATTCGTAAAGACACTGCGTGGCCCATGGGACCCAAATTTCAAGTAAAAAAAATTAAATACTTGTANAACTTTTTCCTCTAAGTCTAGGTATAACAAGTGTCTAGACACCAAATATTCATGAGATTCATGCAACATCATCAGTTGTACCCCACAAATAAGTTGTGCAAGCAAACATAACATAGAGATATAGATAGGTAATGAATATTAAATAATGATTTAAGGACTATATAATTTTGTTAAAGGAAACAAAAAAGAGAAACATTATTTAATGAGTAATTAATAAAAAAACAAAAGAAAAGTGGGAATTTCAGCAGGAATCCCGAAGTAGGCTCTCAAAGGTGCAGAACAAAGATCAATCAATAATCAAGTAGTAAGATTGTTCTTAGGCCGGCTAGTGATAAATAATCACACATTTTTTGTACGTATGCATACTTAATTTTAAATTAATAAGTCTTAAACTAAATAAATTATAAATATGCATTTTCATTAAAAAAGTATGATGGGTCGATCTACCAAATATTAAGCAGTTTCGTAAAAGAATTTGTGAAAATTGAAAGGTTTAACATGATGTTGACTTAAACATATATAATTGGAGATTATTCAACAGACGCACTGATTTTGTTTTAGAAACTAATATGTATGTCATTGACGGGAATTAATTGGTAATTAATCAATTTGACAAGGTAAATTAACTCGACTCTTATTTATAACTAGTATTCGATCATGTGCATTTGTACAGATATAATAAAATATTATGAATTATGTGTATGCATATAATATTAAAATTATAAATTAGATAATAGTATTAAATTTTAAATATAGAGTATAACAAGTTATATATATGCATATAAGATTAAAATTATAAGTTAGATAATGCACTTATGTCTTAAAATTTGATTATTGGTTAAAATAAGTTAGATAATGCTCTTATGCGATTTAAGGAAATTTTACCATGACATTAAAAAAAAAAAATTTACTTTAGTTAACCCAAAATTTATGCATATAAAATGTAACGATTTTTGTCTTAGTTAACCCAAAAAATAAATCTAATGAAATATTTTGTCATTAATCAGATAAAAAAATATAATATTAATTTTAGAATAATCAACCATTCAAAAAGGTTGTACAATATAATTTTTTATGTTTATGTAACTTTCATATATCATTTAGTGTAAAATATAATTAATAATTTTAATAATAACTATTATATGATACAATAAAAAAAATATAATTATTACTCAATTAATATAAAATGTAACAAATTTTGTCTTAGTTAACCCAGAAAAAAGTGCAAGAAAATATTTTATCATTAATGGGATATGTTGAGTAATGTAATAATAATAATAATAATAGTAATAATAATAATAATAATAGTAAAATAATAATAATAATAGTAATAATAATAATAATAATAATAATAATAATAATAATAATAATAATAATAATAATAATGGATTGTAACGGCTTTGGAGCATGGAAAGTTTGCCATGTAGATATTATTTAATAGGTAAAATTTATGAGGTAAAATTTCTTAAATAAAATTTATGAGGTCTTATTTAATGAATTGCTAGCAATTATAAATATATAGATTTGTGTTGTTTATCACGTGATGAATAAAAAGAACGGAAAAACAAAATAAAAATATTCTCAGCTCACCCATATGGTGTGTTTGTATATGAAAATATTCAATCCGTACTTAATTTTACTCAAAATCTAACTCAACTTTAACTCAACTTCATTATCCTCAATATTATCAATATAATTAAATAATACCAACCAATTATTCTTACACATCACATCAACTTTAACTTACTATTCACCCACTTACATAAATATAACTAAACAATAAACATCACTTCATACGATCTCTCTCCTATTTTTTATATCAAATCAACTTTAATTATTGTATTTTAAATATTATTTTAATATAAAATCAGAATACCACTAACAACTAACCATACAATTTTTTTTTTTCAAAATTAACTCTGATTAACAATAAAAAAAAAATAAATCATTTTGAGGGGATATATTTGTATACAAACATACCCTAATTTTAAGTTTCAGTCTTCAATTTCACTTAATTTTGCATTTGCTTTCTTAAGCTTGTCAGAAAATATTGAACAATGCAAATATTTTAAGCATGAATTCTGAAAAATCCCTAAAATACATTTTATGCAAATCATCATTTGCCAGCAAAATCACAATCTTCCAAATAGGCTGTTTGGACAGATTAACACTGCAACATAAATGATGTGCCCAAAAAATTTGCAACACCAACATATAATAAGTTGTCTGTCAAATCAAGCAACCCACAAGCTGCAACACACAAACAAAAGGATTTTATTACACATAAATGATTTTTTATTTTTATTTTTTTAAAAAAAGCAACAAAAATTAAATTAAATTGTAGCTTATACATAAGACCTAATTACAGTTTTCCTGTTCCCATGTGGTTGGCTTTTGTGGACCTGTTGCCATGCTGCTGCATTTCAGACCAACTGAAGATGACAACTCAAAATTTTCAATTTCTTACATTGAACAATAATTACTGCCCTCATTTGTTTACTATTAGATTGAATTTTAAACATGAGATAAANCATATGGATACCATTTTCTTATCAAGTATGCATTTTTGTTCAAACAGTATGACAATTGATGGGTAGACCTTTCTAAATTAGAACTATTACACTGCCTCATACTAAAATTTGTGTCAAAAAAATAATTGTCAGAAAATAAGTTTGGGATCATTTGAGCGATTCATGAATTTTAATCTTAGTTTTAATAATGCTTGCTACGTATGAAAATTAAGCTAACAAGATTTTTTTATTCCTTTCTTATTTATTACTTAGCTCCTAATATTATTTTATATTTATGTATATTTGATATCGATTTGATAATTATAACGGAGTTCAAAACCTTCTAGATTCAATAATAGTAGAAATTTAGATTGATACATACTACCAAATTAGCACATATATGCAGTTTTATATTTTGTAGAAATTTTAGATTGATACATATTTTTCAAACTTGCACATATATGTGGTGGGCATATGATAGGAAGGATAAATTATGTTGGTTGAATACTAGAAAAGTGAAGACAGTTGGAATCTCAAGTATGATGACTGACTGATGAGTGGAGATAAAAAGAGACTGACAACTACATCACTGTACATTTTTCATATCTATTTTTTAATTTTTATAGCACTTAACTATTTGTAGTCACACTCACATCAAACCTAACTTCAATACCTTTCCTATAAAAACAGTTACATATTTCTTCACTTGAGTTTATGAGTTTATGTACATTGAAGATAGGAAAATTGAGTTGAAATTGAATTAAATTAACTGAATATTGAGGATGATAAATTTTAGTTGAAAATGAATTAAATACAATTATTCCAGATTGAGTTTTGGTAGCCATTTGTTCTAGTTGTTTTCTATTCTGCATGTAATTATTGTGAATTAATATATACCTATTTTCCCCAAGAAAATAGATAATTTGGCCGTATACCGTTGTCAGAAGCCAAGTTTACACAAAAAGATACATTAGCTATACTCCATTCCCAATAGGAGGAAAAATGGTCCCAGCCATATACAAAGACTAGCATAAAATGTCCGCAGTTTTGGAGATGCAAAGCAACAACACAAACTTAAAACCAAGTCGATAGTTTTCAAGGCTACTTTGGAAAAAACCATGATATCTTTTATATTAATCATCACCTTCATCATCTTCATCTTCTTGCTCCTCATCGTCATCTTCAGAGGCATCACTGTCTTTATCCTGTAAGGATTGTATAAATGAATCAGTAGTGAATAAAATCTTAACCAGAAACGGGTCTCAGATAGTCAACATTATTCTACCAACATTTATTAGTATTCATAAATCTTGAAGTCGATTGCAAAAATTTACCCCTCGAGAAAAAATGATTTTTTTTTTAAGTGTAGTAGATTTTTCCCAATTTGATCCAAGTTTTATATACCTTATAGGAACAAAAAACTCCATGATTTAAACAAACTATCAACCAAAGAACACAATCTACATACAATAATAACGAGGCAAAGTAATTATAAGGGGTGCTTTTCTCATTACCTCATCATCCTCCATTTCAAACTCCTCCTCATCAGCATCCTAACATAAAAGGTCATTGGATATACGTCATAAGCTAAAAAGTGAAACGTTAAGAAGCACTCTGAATTTGCCTAGGTGGTTAGTCAATAAGGAAAGCTTACATTGTTAAAATACGAGAGTGGATTTGGCCATAAATCATCCTTGATGATTTCAGCAACCTGCTACAAAAATAAGGATGAAATACATAAAAAAAAAATAAAAAATGTCAATTTTTTAAGAAAGCACACAAGTCATTTGATAATCTAAAGGGCAGTGTTTACCTCATCTTGAACTTCTTCAATGTCCCCACTATGCTGGGAATCATTAAACCAGGAAAAGAAGCTGCATTTCACAGTTTAACTTAGCAAGCTATGCCACATGTGGATAATGGATAAGCTAACATTTTTGAATATTAAAGAATAATACATGGAGATAACATGTGTCTAGCCATAAAAAACAGCACTCTCTGACAAAGGGCAAAAACTAAGAGTGTGTTTAGTAAGCAACATAAGTGTGCTTATAGTTTATTTGATTAGCTTATAAGCTTCCTGCATTCAAATAAGCTTTGTTTGGTAGGGCAAGCTTTTTTTAGAAAGCTCGAGCTTATCTCATAAGCTTTCTTGGATAGTTTTCATCTAATTTTACCAAACACTTCTATCATCTCAGCTAGCTTTTTAGCCATAAGCTCAAAATTTACTTGTAAGCTATCAGCTAGCTTATTAGCTAGGTCGACCAAACATAGCCTAAGACAAAAACTCTATTTTTATGTTTAGTTATTCAAATGGAATCAGCAAGCGGTCTCAAAACACACGAAGCATATTTAGACAACAAAACCATTTGGAGGCTGGAGGCAAACATTGTGAAACCAAACCATCTCAATTTCCAGCTCATGTAGAAGACTGAAAAAGTCGACGATCAAGATTTGGGCATCTCCAACATGCATCTATGTTAATCTATTTGTATATGTATCATATTTGTATTTGATACTACCAAANAAAAAAAAAAAAAAAAAAAAAGTCTCCATTCAGTCTTGAATGTACCATTCTAAACAGAACACCATCCTCCTCGAACTACCCTCTCAAGTAGAACATATTCATCAAGTACGCTCGTTTTTAGCTTCTCTTTTGCTCGTTATATAACATATTCATCTTCTTTCAGGAGCCCACGACGATGGATCTCAAAGATTAAGTGTTCAGTGTTCTCACCGAAGGTTTGAAATTATAACCCTTGGAAAAGGTAAACTACCTTAGGGAGTTAGGCTAAGAACAATGCATATTTGAAAGGCCAGTGTGAGAGCCTTTGATAAACACAGCGCTCTACATTACAAGTTGAGTTTGACATTGTCAACTCACAGACAGATACTTTATTCATACACATACAAAGCAACAATGCACAAGTTGAGCGTTGTTTCGTAATACACGTGATCTGTCAGGGTTATAGTATTACGAGGTAATGTTACTGTGATCAGAGGTAAATTTAAAACAGTATAATGTGAAATTATGATTACAGTAATTGTTGACTAAGAGAATAGAAAAGTTTTGAGAGAGTTATTTACCAACAAACAAAGATACTTAAACAATACTAAATTTATCAACACCTAACGCTAGCATATAGCAACAAGATATTTTCTACCTTATAGATAAATGTAGAGTAAACAACTAAAACAAACAAGAAAAAAGAAAAAGAACACACAGGTCAAAAGGAGAAGTATAGACAATAAAGAGAGAAAGCCCCAACCTCTCCTCAACATGAGACCGCTTGTTTCCTTTCTTCTCTTCAGCAGTGCCATTAGGAAGACCCTTCAGATGCCAGACAAGCACAACTCATAACCTTGCAAATACAGACAATGAAATAATTTGACTATATATGAAAATTACCATTCCTTCTTTCCACTTTATTGATGTAGCTGTGATTTTGGTTGTCCCCTCCTCGAGGAAGGCAAAGGTCTTTGTGAGCTTAGCATCTTCAAAGTAGGGGTTGGGCTTGAAGTGCTAAGAGATAAACAAAAGATCACCTCAAAAACTTCAAATATTTACAACACATTAGCATTTTCTACATCACACAAGAATTAGAACATGGCAGGGAAGATTGATTGAACTCACAAAGGTAATGGAGTAACCAGATTTCACATCTTTGCAATCCTCCACTTCAAGGTTACTTAAATACTTGAAGATCTATAGCAAGAAAGGTAAGATTTAGTAAATACAGTAAAGGGAAGAAAAATGCACAATGTCTACAATTTCCTATTGTAACAGAAACTGAAGAGACAAAGGAAAACCTTCTGGTCTTCTTCTGTCAAAAGCTCACTGAGGGCAGGATGACTCAAAAACTGTTAAAACAAGGAACACATCAATTACTGGAATACAGACATCTTATAGCAAAAGCAGAATTGTCAACCACATAGCATGTATCATTTGTATGACATCTCGACAAGAATATCACTTACAGCAGTCAACCAGAAATCAGGAATGGATTTGATGACGCTATTTCTCTTATCATAGACAGGCTTGCGAATCTCATTGTACTTCTGTTCGACTTCCAATACTTTCTCACTTGCTTCTTCATTGATCTAAAAGCAGAGGAAACAGAAACAACTTACCACACCAGTGAAAATTTTTGTGTTACCTATGCATCCCTTTGCGGAAAATAACCAGGATTTTACACAATCATGACAAAGCTATACATAGATCCTTCAAACCTCCAAGTTCTTTTATGATTAAGTTTCGAGCATTTCTTCTTTGAAGTTAAATAATGTACAGTTCAGAATGGAATCAATATAAGGTATCTTAAGCATGCTAATAAATCCAAGTAATTTCCTTGTTCATGGAATATCTCCAAGGATTTAGCGGTGGATAGGAGCGCTTGGAGGCTAGCAATCAACGTGCCAGAACCGTGACTTTTGCTCCTTTCTCTTTTGCTCCAATCTCTTCCTTTTGTTTCAACCCCTTTTTGTGTTTCTTTTACCGATGGTTCTCTTGGGTTTCATCTCTAGCCTACCCCGACTTGCTTGGGACTAAAGGCTATGTTGTTGTTGTTGTTGTTGAAGAAAGAGATACATGCAGTGCAATCTCTAAAGGACAAGAGTAGAGTTTTGGCTTTGATAACAAGAATGAAGAATGATCAGAAGCTAGCATACACTAGAAAAACTGTATACTGTATAGAGTACAACCAGGTCCTGCATCTGAAAGCGAAGACTCAAAATCTCGTGATTCTTAAACAAATGGCTTCCATTCATAGCAGCAATATTAGTTTCTCATAATAGAGACTGGACTTCGCAGTTCTAACATTAAAAAAATGTTATCAATTATCCTGTTTCTTTTATGTACAATTATCCTGTTTCTTTTTAATATATATATATTAAAAAAAACTGAAAATCAGAAACCATAAGCACTCAACTTTTACATACCACTAAGGGTGGTGGCCTACAAAGTATAATGCGTTGAGCTTGTCTATCAAAACTGTACTTTCCCCTTACCTTTTACACTCAGAAATAATAAACCCTGAACCCCAAATGTCTGAAAATATTCATCATGTCAAAACTTGAGGAATGTGCAAAAACGAAAAGCGGCAGGCATGTTTTATTCTCTCATCTTCAGGAATTGCCACATTGGACACACCCACAATTTTCCTAAACTATATAACGGCTCACCTTCAACTCAAACACGATTATCTAATAAGTAAACCCTAATTTTAGCTTAATTTCACTTTTATTAACTGCAGTCACAAACAATTACAACAGGCCAGTTCTCTTCACCGGCGTGCCACAAGAAGAAAACAGAAAATCAAACAACCAACGCGAAACAGAGCTTCCGGCTCCATTCAAAACTCGAGTAAAATAAGAAAACAGAGTTAATAAGTTTTTCTCAATAACAAATCAACCAAGAAAGACAACAAAAAAGCACCTTTTCAAGCTCATCTTGAATTTCCTGGAGCTTTTCGATAGAGACAAGAAGGTCTCCATCAATGTGCTCGGTCCCGTTTCTCTCTTCCTCCACCTCTCCTACTTTCTGTTTTTTCCCTTTGTCTGCTCCCATTTCTTTTCAAATCCGTAGGATTTCTACAAAGAACAAGAGATATTTTTGTGGGCTTTGTTCGGTTACAGAGAGCCTCAGCTAAAACCCTAAAAAAACCCCTCAGGCGGAGAAGAAAATGAAGAGAGGAGAGAGCAGCTCTATCCTCTGAAAGGGAGTTAGGGTACACTGTTGAGTCAAAAATAGGGACCAAAATCGGGCTAATGAGCAAAAATATGATAATAGAGATTTGGGCCAACGAGAAATTTTAGGTTATCCAATACATGGATCGGGCCGTACATGGGTCGGACCCGTATTGCTGAAATCAATATCTCTATCCAGGCCCAGGGTAACATGGTACTCCCTCCATTTTGAAATATAAGGCATTTAAGGTTATTGCACAAATATTAAGGAGACATTAATTAATGAATAAATTGACTAAATTAACCTTATTTACTCTAATCACAACCACTCTACACTTCCTTAATTTCAACACAATGAGGGTATATTTGGAAAAAAATGCAAAAATTTGTCTTGATTTTTGAGTGCGCCTTATATTTCAAAAAAAATGAGAAATCTTTATACGCCTTATATTTCAAAATGGAGGGAGTATTTAGGATTTAGGAGCTCGATACTGACATTGACGACTTGTAGTTTTCCTTAAAAGGTCGAAGCAAATATTTCACCGAACCGGCCCGAAGGTCGCCCAACCGCCAACCCTTAGTCCGAAACTGGCGGTCTGACCCAAAATCGAGCCCGGAATCGAGTTTGGCCCTGGAACCGAGCCCGCAAATGGGTTTGGCCATGTCTACCCTTGATTTTTTCACAGAGTGCCCGTGTTAACGTATTTTTCCAAACTGTTCATTGTTGTAAAAATATTTCAATTTTTTGTTTGAATTATTTTTCTCTTAAATAATTCTGCAAAACGTGTGTTAAAAACCATGAAAGTCCAACAGAAATTGTACTAAAATTAAATTTAGAATTTTAACATCACAATATTTTTTTAACATATATAAAAGTGATGAAAACGAACAGAAATAAAATTAATATTGTAAAGAAGTGCATTATAAAGGAAAAAAATAAAAAATAAAAATAAAAAGACAAGAGTGAACAAAAACCTTCATTTCAAAAAAATTCCAACATTTTAACTCAATCACTTTTTTTAATTCAACTTTTACTCAACTCCACTATCATCAATATTATCAATTTAATTAAATAATATCAATCAATCATTCATACACACCATATCAACCTTAATTCACTATTCATCCACTCACATTATTTTAACTAACCATCACTTCAAATTATTTCTCTCCTACTTTTACATCAAATCAATTTTAATTATTTTATTTTAAATATTATTTTAATATATCCACTAACAACTAACCATACTACCATTTTCAAAATTAACTAAACCAAACAAAAAAATTCAAACAAAACAAAAAAAATCATAACCAAACATGCTAGTGACCCTACACGAAAGCTCAACCAAGTAGACTCCCCTAAATTTGGCTAGATGGTTGTTTGACATATTCTAGTTGCAATTATGTGTTTTTATTTATAAAATCTATCGTTTCGAAAAAGAAAAAAAAAATATATATATATATATATATTTGTGATCAATTAACCGGACACAATCTTGATCATCCAACCATAATCCAACGGCCAGTCTCATTCCCCAAGACCTCGACTCTCATGTTCTCGCACACGGCCATGAATGTGTAATCCGAATAGTCACCCCACAATCTAGCACCTTCGACTCGATCGGCTTGTTCAGTCGCCCAAACTGTGCCCATGTCACGTTCCCGAGGCCTGAGTCTTTGTCTTCCATGTAAAAGTTGGGCCCCACGACTTTCTCCGACCACTCGGGCGAAGGCTTGCACTCGGGCCACACGTTGAAATCCTTAATTTGGGTGCCGCGGAGCTTCCCGACCGAAAATCCTAACTCCCACACGGCCGTATTATCATTTATTTTGTTGTTGGTTGCAGTCGACAGGGAGACCGACTCGATTTTGAAAGTCGGGAAGTGGGACTACCGCCTGGAAAGGCAAAGGGAAAGGGGTATGATTACGGCTGTAAATATTTGTATAATTTGTGTTAAATATATGATTTGATATAAAGTGGGGACATGTTATAGTATCTAGATATAATAATCGGTTTTGCTATGGAGCCATCAGATGACTCGGCTTATGGAGTCATCCATAGTTATCCTCAAATAATGTATTGACATGAGTCATGCAATAAATACACATTGGACACGTATCAATACATAAAGTTATGAATGACTCCACAAGGGAGTCTTTCGATGGCTACATAGATTTAATGTTTAAGATATATTTATATTTATAAATTTAAATGTCATGCAATAACCTTCTCACAACAAAATTTGTAATTTACGAAGTTGAAGAATTGTTTACCAGCACGCAGCACCTCACTAATCTTTCATCCAACAACTTCATGACGACATGAATTGCCGCTCTCTTCAAATTCGATTAGCTCAAATCTTTCTCCAAGAACCACCCTCAAATCTCCTAACCCCTTTTCATCTCCCCCAAATCCACACTCTCCTGATAACAACCGGCCTCCAATCTCTAAACAACTCCATTCTTCTCTCTCTCTTCAAGCTCTATCTCTCTAACCCTTCCACCATTTCCCTCGCCGAGAACCTTTTCCCTCAAGTCCGCGAACCCGACAAATGGAACCTCATGATCAGACATGCCTCGGCCTCCAACCCCCTAAAGGCTTTGTCTTTATTCCGGGAAATGCGGGACGCGTCCACCTTTCACGGCGACCCCTTCATTTACGCTTCCCTGATTAAAGCCTGTAATAAAGCTCGCGCCTTGATTCAAGGTAAGTCGGTACACGGCCATGTTGTTAGGGTGGGGTTGGACTATAATGTGAACGTGTTGAACAGCCTTGTTAGTTTTTACATGGGTCCTGCGAATTCGATGAGTTATGCAGCCCTGTTGTTTGATGAAATTCCTGAGAAAAGCATTGTTACTGTCAATTGTATGATATCTGGGAATATTAACAGGGGAAACCTTGATGTGGGTTTGAGCTTGTTCGTTGAAATGTTTAGTGGGTGTTATGGTTCGAATGTGAAGCCGAATTATGTTACTTTCGTGATTTTGATATCTGGTTGTGTTCAACTTGGGGGATTGAGATCTGGAAATGCGCTTCATTGCTGTTGTTCTAAGATGGGATTTGGTTTCAATCTTGAAATATGCAATGCGCTTATTGATTTGTACGCTAAATCAAGGCGTATATTCGATGCGGAGAGTGTATTTAGATGCATGCCGAAAAGAGACGTTATTTCGTGGAATTCTATGATTTTGGGGTACGGTAATAGTGGTGATTTCGTGCGTGCATTTTCCCTGTTTAGGAAAATGTGGGTCGAGAATGTGGGAGCTGATAAGGTGTCTTTCAGCAGCTTGTTATCTGCTTGCAAAGACCTTTCTTTCGGAAGGATGATCCATGCTCGTGCAAAAGTTAGTGGGCTCGACTGTGATGTTTCTGTCGGGACAGCTCTCATGAACATGTATGCAAGGTGTAGAAACCTGGGGTATGCCCGGAAAGTGTTCGATGAAATGCCTAAGCAAAAGATTGAATTTTGGAATTCTATGATACATTCATATATAGAACATGGGCTTGCTCATGAGTCTTTAAAGCTACTCGATAAGATCAAATTGAGAGAATTAGAGCTAGATGAAGTGACGATTCTTGGATTAATCATGGCTTGTCGTGATACGGGGGATTTACGCATGGGTATTCACGCGCACTCCATTGTGGAGAGCAAAGAGTGCTTCAAAAGAAGTGTAGTTTTGGGAAATGCTCTTATCGACATGTACGCAAAATGCGGGAGCATTACGAAAGCTCGGGCCATTTTTAACGGGATGTCGATAAAAGATGTCGTCTCGTGGACGTCGATGATAGTGGGCCACGCGGTGAACGGCGAAGGAAATGAATCTCTTTCGATTTTCAAACGAATGTGCGAAGAGAAATACGTTCCTAATTCGGTTACTTTCATCGGAGTTTTATCCGCGTGCGATCACGCGGGTTTGGTTGACGAAGGGCGAAAATTTTACGACTTAATGCAAGAAACTTACCATATTAAGCCGAAAATCGAGCATTGTGGATGTGTGGTTGATATGCTTGCTAGAGCTGGAAAATTCGAAGATGCTCAAAGCTTTATTCGGCAGATGCCTATTGAGCCAAATGCGCTTGTTTGGAGAATGTTGATGAATGGGTGTAGAGTTCATGGACAAATCAATCTTGGATTGAACTTGGATGATAAGAGCGTGAGAGAACTAAAAGAATCTCGCGAGCCGACAAATTTTGTGGTTTCATCTAATATGTATGCTGAAGCTGGAAGATGGGGCGATTTTATGGTTGATGAAAGAACGTGTAAAGAAGCTGGAAAAAGTATTCTTGTGTCGTCTTTGATAGAGTGATATGAGTCCGAGCTGCCAAAATCTAATACAACACACAATAACACATTATGTGTTGTTGGATTCTTTTTACTGTTATGTCAAATATGAGCTTGGTGCCCACGTGAAGGTCATAAAGATGTCTATTGAACATAAATGCATACTTATCGTAGGATTATTCTCCAAAACCTCTCAAAAATATTTTCCAAATGCAGTCTCCAGTGAAAGAAAAAAAAAAATTGAGTGCAAGCATATTTAGTCTCAACCTAAAGAAACCAGACACTTGTGGTGTGTTCATACCCCTTCTGTATATTCATGTGTTATATAGCTTGGACTTCTAAACACTGAAACTTCGAGCGTAAATTTTTATGTGATTGATGGTTTGTTTATCATCACCAAAATAGTTGACATTTTTGGGAATCCCTAGTTAGCAGATAGTCATAATAAAATAATAATAGTTGTTAGTCTAAGGTAATATTTATCTTTCTCAAATCATCAAGTCAAGATGGCCGAGCGGTCTAAGGCGCCAGTTTCAGGTACTGGTCCGAAAGGGCGTGGGTTCAAATCCCACTCTTGACATTATCAATAACTTTTTCTCCATTTCTCCTTTTTACCTGCTTAATATATATATATATTTTAAAATTTAACGAGGATCGCGTGCATGTCATAACGCGTTTGGATTGATTGGCATATTATTGAATTTTTTTTTGGGTCGGTACATATTAATGAAATTTTCATGTAAGTGCATGCAGTCAAAAAGAGCATATATGATAGTTTTAATTTATTTATTTTTTTTCTTGGATCGGTACATAATAATGAAATTTTCATATAAGTGAATGTAGCAAAAAACGAGCATTTTTAAACATATAATAAATTTGATTGGTTCTTCGTCAAGGCATAGGTTAGTGAAGACTTTAGTCAGTAAAAAGAATACTACCTAATCTCGAATACTTGATCAAAACACAAAAGTTGTTAAACTAACTTGTTGTTGCACGAAATTTGATCAATTGGGAGGTTCAGAGGAATTTTTTGTGTATTTTTCGATATGTATTTTGTGTGTATTTTTGGTGAATTTCTGTATAGATCAAGAAAAAATTAAAGAAACAGCTATGTATCCTCCTTTCTTAAGGAATAGGAAAGAAAGAAGACGCTTTATGTGTTCTTCTTTCTTTAAAGAAGATAAGAAATTCATGATGATGAATTTGTATGTAATTCAAATAAGAATGAAGAAGCAGACGAGCCCAGAGGAGGCACCGCCCTCCATTCTTTCTGATCAGATCGAAAATAATAATAACACCCCCTCAGATTTCTCTCAATGATGTCTATCATTGGGGTATTTATATATATGTTTTTTGGACCCGATATTATCACAAGCGGTATTATTTTAGGCCCTAAATTAAAATAATTAATTTAATATACATCCACGTGTAATATTTTAATAGGCGAGACCAAAATTAAGTATCAACATAACCATTATATGATTGATTTGTCATATTTTTTTTAATATAAGTACATACTTAAAATTTCACATATTAGACTTATTATTATTTTTTAAATTATGATAGTTTAATAT